TTATTTCTTCTTTTGTAAAATGTAGTTGGTCTCATTTGCACAGCGAACACCCAGGGATGCTACCATGGCTCTCCCTGGTCCACTATGTCTGTGCTACAGTGACTCTGGTCTTTTCCTCTGCATTACGAGAGTTTCCGTCTCTCCTACATGTATTCAGCTGATCAGAACAAACTCCCCAAGCTTATTGTTTTACTTCGATTCAGTTTGTTTTAACCAGTCTTGTCTTGCTGAGCTGAGGCATCTGAGTGTTTTCTTTTCGTATTTGTCTCTTCAGGTAGCGTCGTGCCCGGTGCAGGTGCATTCGAGGTGGCTGTGGCGGACGCTTTGGTAAAACACAAGCCCAATGTGAAAGGCAGAGCCCAGCTGGGAGTCCAGGCATTTGCAGATGCTCTTTTAGTCATCCCCAAGGTGAAGGATTTATATTTCTCCTGCAGACTTTCAGTGTTTCTTTATCCTAAGGTGTTCTTGCTTTTGTATTGTAGATCTACTACAATCAGTTGTCAGCTATTAAATTAATCGGCAACTACAATTTAAAAATCAAATTCTCTGATTTCAGCTTCTCGAATGTTGATTGATTATTTTCTGGTCTCTTTAGTTCTCTGTGACAGTTAACTGAATATGTATGGGGATGTGGACAAAACAAGACGTTTGAGGATGACACCTTGGGGAAATGATCATCAGAAATCAATAATAAGAATAATCGTTATTTGCAGCTTTACTGTGTAGTGCTACTGATAATATCTCTTGTCCTCCTCCTCTTGCTTACCATTAGACAGGAAAGTCAAAACTGATTTGTTATCTGTGAGAATTCACACTGTTATCAGCCTCCGTTGATTTTAATTCTGCATCTTCCTTTGTAGGTTTTGGCCCAGAACTCTGGCTATGACCCACAGGAGACCCTGCTGAAGCTGCAGACGGAGTACAAAGAGTCTGGTCAGCTAGTTGGAGTAGACCTCGACACAGGTCAGAACCACAGCAGGGTTTATAGAGAGAGAGAGAGAGAGAGAGAGAGAGAGAGGATTGTATTACGCAATGTATTTTAAGTCAATTACAATGCATCACAACGTCTTTTTTTAATTTTTCAAAAGCAGCAGCTAGCCTCCCTGGTTGGGTTATAATGCTCTTAAATCACAATCTTGAATCCTGTTTTTCAGGGGAGCCCATGGTGGCAGGAGAAGCAGGTGTTTGGGATAATTACAGCGTTAAGAAACAGCTTCTTCATTCATGGTGAGTTCACACATCTCAAACTCTACAAGGCCAGTGGAATATTTGAAACGTTCCCGGTGCATTGTCTCTTCAATCTCTTACGTGTTTTATTCCTTTTACAGCACGGTGATTGCCAGCAACATCTTGTTGGTGGATGAGATCATGCGAGCTGGAATGTCTTCACTCAAAGGTTAAAGGTCAACTGAAGAAGCTGCAGCTGTCTTCGTCCTCACAGGGATAGTTGTTTACCGAACGGTTCAGTCAACGTGTTCCCGCTCTGAAGCCCCCTAGTCTGATGGACAGCCTTCTCTAAACACCGCGGCATTCATCACAGCGTCTCTCAGAAATCAATGTTATGCTAGTCATGTTTTTTTTTTCATGGATTTGTCAACGCCTTCCTCTGATTGGTTTATTTATGAGATTTTGTTAAAAGCACTGACCTCTGCCACTCAGATTTGTTTCTACCCATTAAAGGTTTTCTTGGCTCTTGAAAGATTGGTTTGTTTTTGTCTTTTTGAAGAGTAAAGTGATCTATAAAATGCAGCTCTTGAGATAAACTGGGTGTTCAAATTTAGAAATCTCTCTTTAGAAACTATTTAAACAGTAAAATACAGCCAGTGGTGGAATGTAATTTAAATACGCAAGTGCTGTTTTTGGCACTTGGACTTCAGCATTTCCATTTTCTGCAATTTAAAATGAAATATTCAGCTTTTTACTCCACTAAAATTAATGTACAGATGCAGATTACTCAAAACAAAAGCTTACAAAAGAAAACAGTATATTATAGCTAATTGAATGGGTTCTCCACATACTGCAAAATTAAAATGCCTGTTGTATATGAATGCATTAGTGATTGTATATATTATGACTAACAATTTTTCTAAGACTTATCTGTTGCTACTTTAGAGCTTCTATAATATTTCTACCACTGCACAACAGTGAAGATACAAACTTATGATACATGTTTAATTTACATTTCAAGCTTTCAAAATAAAACTACTGGGAGTCCATTTATATAAACATGAAATCATTTTTAAAGGCATGTAAATGAATAATAAAACCTTATTTTAGATTGTAGTTTTTTTATAAACTTGGACTTATAGTCGTTCATCTTTCTCAAGGCTTTAAATAAGATGAAAATACATTTACAAATGTACTTATTAAGGGGGAGATTTGTTTACATAGCTTGATGGATCGTTTTAGTGGCACATTATTATATATTAACTCGTTCACCTAAACAAACTAAGACTGCAGATTGAATGATGTTTGTCTTTTTAAGTGTTTCATGGATATAATTCCGGGTGGATTAAGGTGAAATGGCAAACATTGTTTTATTTAATTAATTATTGTAAATTTTTGTGTTGTATTTAGTGTATGCTATAGTATCGGGAGAAGACAAAAAAAAAAACAACTAATTAACAAGTTTAAGTTTAAAATAAAGCGGAACCTTTTTTTTTATTTTACACGGAACTTGTTTTATGTTGAACTTATTTCCGTTGCGACGGTGAAATTGTTCCGAAGAGACGAGAAAAATGTGAAGTGAACATTAGATTGAAGTTTGATTAAATTCTGTCGATAGTTAAATCTTAAACTTTACATTCGCATATATACTTATATGCAAAATACAAACAATGTTAAATTGACAGTTAAAACCAGCTCGTCCACCATGGCCCTTCAGACAGTATCCTGGGTAACTGCGGTGTTTTTACTGACAGTGGCGGGTAAGAAATCACATATTTCTACATCTCTGAACAGACATTGTATTAATATTGTATCAGCGTGACGGAGAACAGTTTCCTCCTGACTCCCAGCAGCAGAGGAGATGCTGAAAATCCCAGGAGGAAAGATGTTAATGGGAACCAGTGCAGCTGATGGGAGAGATGGAGAGTCCCCCACTAAGGAGGTCGAGCTGCAGCCTTTTAGATTAGACACACACCCCGTCACTAACGCTGATTTCAGGTGATAAAACCGTAAATCTCGTATTGTGGTGTTTTGATAAGAAGGTAAACATAATGTGGTAACTTGCTGACTTGGCCTTTGTTCACCACAGAGACTTTGTGAGGACTCAGAAGTACAAAACGGAAGCCGAGACGTTTGGTTGGAGTTTTGTGTTTCAAGACTTCGTGTCAGAAGAGCTGAAGAGCAAAGTCACACAGAGAATTGAGGTACTGGGATTTTAATTTTTAATTCAGGAATTAAAAAAAATGAAGTAATTGTTAGTTTGACATCAATTGGCAAATCATGTATAACATTTATCAAGAAATATTCCTTGTTTGTGGCTTCTTTTAAATGTCTACATGTGCTGCTACACTTGTATTTTAATTAAGTAATTGCACTTTATTTACTTATACTTTGTACTTCTACTCTACAGTGTTTCAGAGGGAAATATTCTTTTTACTCCACTACTTTATTTGATAGTTCGTAGTTATTTTTTTACTTAACAAATAAAATATGAATCATTACGAATGAACATTTGGCTGTTACACTGTTGTAATAGACTCTAGGGACTGTGATTGCCATTTGACTGTAAATAACTTTGAACTCTTTACTCTTCTTTCCCATCCAGTCTGCTCCTTGGTGGTTGCCTATAGAACGGGTGTTTTGGAGACAGGTGAGATCTTTTCCATTTTTTTTTTTTTGTTTTGTTTTGTTGATCTTCTAGCATGCCTTAATTGCCTGTCTTTCACTGCTTTGATCCTCTGCTGCTCAGCCTGCAGGACCTGGTTCAGGCATTCGTGAGCGTCTGGGTTTCCCAGTGGTTCAGGTGAGCTGGAACGATGCTCGGGCCTACTGCCAGTGGAAGGGCAAGAGACTGCCTACTGAGGAGGAGTGGGAGTGGGCTGCACGTGGGGGGCTGCAAGGTACACACGTTGAAAGCACAGAATACTATTATGTGCCATCATTGTGATGAGTTTTGTAGCTTTTTGACAGTTTGTTCATGTCTACCCTCGACTGACACCCATTAAACAGAGTTGTAACGGTGTTTAAATAAAGTCTGCAGCTCATCTGAATTAAAGAGTTAAATTTGCCCTGAACGTTGTGTTTCATGAGTCAACAAAGAAAGAAGGAGGGACCAGTTTTCATGACCCCCATGCTGAATACCTGGAATATAATTCAAGGGTTTGCTCTCCTCTTATCTCTTCCCTGTGTTTTGTGTTCCAGGTCGAGCTTATCCGTGGGGAAACAAGTTCCAGGCCAACAGAACCAACCTGTGGCAGGTCAGTCTACAATAATACATGTTGCTGTAGCATTAGCTCAGTTATTATTGTCCTCATAGGATGCTCTGACTGGGGGTTCACATATGATGCATTTCTGCAGATAATGACACTTTTTTCTTGAGCTAAAGATATAAATGTGGGTGCAAACTGATTTTTTGTTGTTGTTTCTTAATAGAACTTCATGACTTGCCTGTATTGCTAATTGTATTAAGTGAGGGACCACAAAAATCTTGCAGTAAAATGAGTTTTGTACGATTTTACTCTTTAAATCAATAAATATGTATAGATATTTTATGTTGTCACACTTTCTCTTAAAAAACGTGTTCACATGAAAGCATTAATACAAATTTTCCTGTACATTTTGTCTGTATGTTTTTAGGGGTCGTTTCCAGATAAAGACACTGCAGAGGATGGATACCACGGCATCTCTCCTGTCACAGCATTTCCTCCCCAGAACAGTTATGGTAACTGTCCCTTAGATAAAGCCTCAATGAGATAATATAATATTAGAAGTACTACATGGTAACAGATATGTCTTTAGTTGAAAGCATTAGATAGAAAGGGATGTTTAAATGTATTAAAACCAGTCTGAGGTGCTCTTGGTTCTGATGGTTTCATCATATTCTTGCTGTACTGTATGTTTCTTAATATTATAAGAACGATGTTGATTCTTCCTGAAGGACTCTATGACATGATGGGAAACACATGGGAATGGACTTCCACACCTTTTCCAGGAGCCCGACCAATGTACGTGCTGCGTGGAGCCTCCTGGATCGACACAGTGGACGGTTCAGCCAATCATAAAGCACGAATCACAACCAGGTGAGTTATTAAAAAAAACAAAACACAGTATTTTCCGACTCTGAGCCCACAGACCAAGTGTGCATCACTGTTTTGATTGTGTGTCCTGCAGAATGGGAAACACTCCTGACTCTGCCTCTGATAACCTGGGATTCAGGTGTGCTGCCAGTGATGGACAGAAACAAGGGAAGAAAAAAGAAAAAACTGAACTGTAGCAACAAACCGGAAGTCAAAAATATGAAGAGAACAACAATAATCTTCATTTGAACCAACATAGTTCAGGTGCTACTCATGGATCTGATGACTTTCAGGTTGACACAGAACAAGAAAAAAGGAAGGAAGGGACCAATTAAATATTAATGACTAACAATGAATATTAATGATTTTTCTCCTGTGGAGAACTTAGAATTTTTTTTATGAATTTGATAAAGAATTAACACAAATATACTAATACTGCTAACATTCAAGAAATAAATCATTTACAAAAAAACCCCATGAAAAGTTCCTTGTTACTGTTGTTTTCGTAACGTCACACCTCGAAACAATAAAAGTCTCATGCTGATCATTTTACAGACACGTGTCATTGAATAGAAGAAATAGGACACTCAGTCAGCAGTCTTCCTTCTATATGCTGGGATCTGTCTTTTGTTGAGTGTTTTTATGTGAGTGGAGAGTAAATTGGTCCTTCGGTTCAGTCACGGCCTCCTCTAATCCTGTCTTTGTCTTTTTGTTTACTTTCCCATCACAAGTGGCCAACTGAGTGTTTATTGGACTGATTCTGTTGAACACCACAGCTAGGAAGTTTTATCTAAACTGTCAAATAACTGTATAATGACAAGCCTTGTTTCTGTTCTTAGGAAATGATTGAGTACTTTTGACCTGGCCACACACAATGCAGAAATATTCTGCAAGTGGATTCTTTCATTGACAAATATTTATTCAAGGCAAAAATCAGAGCTGGCAGTTTTGTTCTTGTAACATACAAGTGTTGCAATTTTAATTGGAAATTTAGCACATAGATAAGTTATCAGTTAGTTGTAAGTTATCTTGGCGTGAATTTCTCTGTGAATTAATTATTACTTTCAATATCTTTGAATTCTAATTTATTCTTCTTAACAAACTTCTTAAATCTGAACATCCCCACATTTGGTCCCCACATTGGTATCATCATGTGAAACTGTTAATACAATACACTTAATAGGGATTTACATTCGTGTTTTGGATGCTTGCAGATTCTTCCATCCTAAAGATTTGTTTTCAAACCTACAATAGAGGAAGAAAAGTTTAAAGCAAAAGTTAAAAAAAAAAGACATATTTGCTTCCTGGTGGAGCGTTTACACTAGCTTAGCATGAGGACTGGAAACGGGGTAAACAACTAGCCTAGCTTTGTCCAGGTAACAAAACATACCTACCAGCACCTTTTAAAGTGCACTAATTAACTGTATCTTGTTTGTTGAATACCTACCGTTTTCACTTTTACAGGTTGTTGTGTGACAGGCTTCTTGGCTCTGAGTAGTTGCCAGGCAACCAGCTGAGTTACTGCTCCTAGCCAAAAAATAGTTTGGCACAAACCTCACGTAAAACAGAAATAGTTGTTTTTATACTTTGGATTTAGATTTTATGGATCAAACAAATGAGATACAGCCGGTTAATTAGTACATTTTGAGGTTCTAGTAAGCAGGTTTCCAGCCTTTATGCTAAGCTAAGCAGCTACTGGCTGTAGTTTCATATGCAGCTATTGTACATGAGAGTGGTATCAGTCTTGTCATCTAACTTTCAGCAAGGAAGCCAATACTTTGTTCCCCAAAATGTTTTCATCGAAGTAAGTTTGAGGGCTAAAGTAAAGTTGCTTTAATAAAAACAAAACAATCAAGGCAAGTTTAGCACCTTTCAATAACAAGGCAGAATTATTTACATAAGACATAAAAGTTGATAAGAGAAAACAGGTGTAAATGAACAAGATAATATAAAATACACATATAAACAGGATTTAAGAGTAAAATGAAATACATCATAAAAATATGCCAAACTAAAATCAATTCAACAAAATCAAATGTGACAATATTTCAGTTGTTTTGAATCTAAATCAACCTGTTTTAAAAAAAATTGAGGGTTAGTCTTCTTTTTTATATAGTTTCTTGCAGAGAAGTTGCAGAATAAGTTTATTCTGTACTGTTATTAACTATCATCCCTAAAATATTACTGAAAACAACCCTGGGTATTGGTGATATACTCTCACTACACTGGCAGAAAGTCTTGAAGGCTGAAGACTAAATGACTTGTTGAGACATGTTTGTTTCATTGCAGTGATAATACAATAGCGCCTGATCTATAAATACTGGCACAGACAAAGGGTTTCCTACACACACTAATTAGGTTTGACCCATTAAGAATAAAATGTAAATTATTAAAGATCACAATAGAGAATCAACACTTTTACTTTGATGAGTGGGTCCACCTGTCTGAATGGTGTAGGTGGTGACCTACTTCCTGCAAAAGGGTGTGCAAATTGTGCAGTACAAAAGGTTGAGTACACCGCTTTAATAAGGACGCTGATAACACGTCTAACCATAAATCCACACAACACAAACGTGAGCCACTTCTTCCTGCTGCTTCAGGACTAAAACTAGGTCTAGAATTAAAGTTATGAACATTATGTGGCCCTCATAATAAGGAAATAAACAACAGGAAAGTGAAATTGGCAGTGAAATGTCTGATAACCGTGGTGCCTTTTTGCTGTAATTTGGCTGCAACCTTCAAATCAAATCAGCTTTTCAACTCTATTCTTCCTGCTTCCTGCAACTCAAAGACATTGGCAAGTATTCAGTTATAAAATAAGATGTGTTGATGTGTCACTGTCTCATCTCTGCACATGTATACGGAAGGTTTGTCATCAAAAATTACCTTCTTTATTTAACTGCAAGAAATGACTACAACTGGTGTTTTCCCCAAAGCAGTAAAGCCGCAGCGATAACTGTGTAATAATAGTCTGTGGTTTTGATGCTGTACATGTTGTTGTTTAAACCAAAGGAAAAAGGCTTCTATGTTATGGCATAGAGATTGATGGAATGTAACTAAGTACATTTACTCAATTACTGTACTTTAGCACCAAGTTAAGTATTAACTTGAGTATTTCTATTACATGCAACTCTATAATACTTCTCCTCTTCATCTCAGAGGCAATTATTATATGTTTTAGTTTACATTTGTCTGACAGCTTTCATCCTTTCCTGTCCCGTGAAAACTATGTGTCTCCAAACTTGGTGATTTTAAATTAGAATATTTCAGATAAACTTGATTAAATGTTCCTTTGTGGGTTGGGGAAATACTCCTCCTTCTTAACCTAAATTAAAAAAACAAAAAAACAATCCCCGGAGAAGCTGGAAAATCCCTTGTCACGAAGCTGAAAACTGCAGTTTTTAGTTCTACAAGAATATGTTGATATATATATATAGGGATCATTTTTCTGTATAAGGAGTACTACTTTTAAAACTCTAAGTCAATTTTGATGACAATACTTACAAACTTTACTTAAGTAAGTAGTAAGTCCTGAATGCAGGAGTTTTACCTGTAGTGGACAACTCTGTGTGCTATTAGTGTGAATACTTCTTCCACCACCGAACATTGAACTTGCCTTCATTGTATAACTGCTTTGACGCCGTCTGTATTATTATTATTGCTTTTTATATTTGAGTTGCTTGGTAAAAGAGCTGTTTAAATTTGGCATTATGCGTCAAGCCTGAATAATCTGATTGTGTCAAAGGATCAAAAGCCCTCCTCCCTTTGTTCCCCCGCAGCTGTGGTATGTTTGCACGTCATGTGTTTGTGTAGCAACTGAAAGGAGGAAGAAAACCCAGACGGGCCACATGAAGCCACAGCCTCCAGTGACATCACATCATGTCATGTCATGTCCCTGTGAGGACGCACACCGTTCTGGAAAAACGAGTTTGGAGACATTCTGTTTGTTATCCTCCCTCCTCTGGGTTTTTTGTCTTCCTCTCGCTCCTCCATGTTTATTTATTACCTGACAGTATCTGCAGGTGGTTTAATTGATTCTACTTCTGCCTGCGACTACTACCAAGGTGATCATGGACTACACTCAGTCTTTCTCAGCCCTCAACGAGAGGCTGAAGCCCCGAATCACCACCAGTGAGCAGCTCTACTCCTCCCTGAACAGATTGGAGGACAGACAGTCGGGCTCGCTCAGGAGCCTATATTTACCGTACCGACCTACAGTTCTGCCAGGACATCCAGAAGCAAAAGTCTCTGTGACTCTACCAGAATCAGAAGATCCAGAGGAACCTGAAGATGTCACAGAGCAAGAGGATTTGGTTTCTGATGACCCAGAAGAACACGGTGCTGACCTGCTGCCCTTTAACAACTCATGCCTCATCACTGAGTTGAATCTAAAAGATGTGGGTGAAGAGGAGCTGGTTGACGAGGACAACAGCAACTCACCGTCTGAGGATAAAGACATTCCAGGTGAACTGACCTCAAAGGGGAAAGGTGATTCCTCAAAATCAGCAGCCGGTGAAGATGGGAGCTCCATGCAGAGGGACTACATAGACGGGACATTACCAGACCTGATCAGGAGCGGCAGGACTCTCTGCAGACGTCGGACACTGGGACATGTCTCAGAGACAGTAGGGATAACAGTCTTTTTTAATGTTCATTTAAAATGAGAGCGAGATTGTTCACCATGTTTTACAGGGCATGAACTTAAATTTATTCTGCTACAAACAGGCTTGTCAAACAATGAAACCTGTTATACAGGGAGGATTATACTCTGACTTTCACTCGGGAGTGTAGCAAGCATTTGCAAAAAGCACAAAATGAAAGATACAAAGTTGTTCCTAGAACACCACCAAGAAATCATGGCCATCAACATAATGAATTATGATCAAAATGAGTTTGACGTCAGAGCGCAGTAAACCTCAGTTTGTAACAACTTGATTGTACAGGACACTATCACCTGATGACGACAGGGCTTGATTTGTGGTCATGAGTGTAAAGATGGAAACAGTGATGATTTGATGCCTCATACTTTATGTTTAAGAATTTCCATTGTTCAGTTATCTTGGCGTGTCTTTGAATGTTTCTATGAATGAGTTCATTTGTGCATATTTTCAGTGTTTGCAAGTGCTGAATAACAACTCAGCCGGTACGACTGGATTTCTTGTCTGCAGTTTCACCACCAGGAATCTAGATTAGCAGTTTCTATTTACATTGTGTAAAAGTGTCATGAGTTAGCACTTTATGTGTGCGGGCCTACAATTATCTTCACAGCAAAAAATTGGTTGTTAAAATGAACTGATGTTATATTATTGTCTGCAGCTCAAAGAGGTACGCAGAGAAGTGGAGCTGTCTCGGAGACGAAGCATCAAACTTAAAGCCCAGGTGGACAAACTACAGGAGAGCAGAGAAGGAGTGGGCTGGAGCCAACACAGAGAGAGGGTAAAGGTTACACACAGCACCAGGATATAGTGTATGTCTGCCCAGCTCTGCAGGATTATTATTATTTAATTCTATTTATTACTATCCCAGGTCACAGAGGAGGTCCTGTCTGTTCTGCGACTGCTGCACCCACTGACGGAGCCAGAGTCCGGCCCGCTTGAAAACGCTCATGGTGAAAACCACCTGGACGCCGCTCTGGCCCAGCTGCAGAATGTGGCCCGACATCTGGCTATCGGCCACACCAAACAGGTGAAGGCCAACACCCACAATCAAATAAAGCTCCTTACTCTTATCATGTACTCTACTCCTGCAATCTCATTTTGAGTTTATTTTAGTGGGCATGATACCCAGAAGAAAGCTTGTTTTGCACATATAAATAAAGGAAAGGTGTACAGGTGACAAAGGTGGCCAAATATTTACATGTAGAAACTGTTTTATCTTCAATTTCTATTTAAAATCTGACTATATTAACTTGATCCATAGTGCCTTATTTAAAGATTACTTCACCTGCAAATTATAGAAGAGTCATGAATATATTTTTGGACAACAGCAAGGAATTTATATTATCAACAAAGTGGTTGAATACTGTACAGACATATATACACTCATGTGAGAGACGCTCGTGCACTCCAGATGAATCATTTCCCTCATTATTTCCCTGACAGACCATTAGGTGTTACAGCTCAGCTATGTGGCCTGACAGGTTTACGAGTGACTTGATCAGTAATGTGAGTCTTTTTGGTATTTGCTGTATGTAAGGGAAATTCACAAGGTGTCTGAATCCTGTTAAAATACAGAAAAGAGAGAGTGAAGTCAGTGATGTTAAAGGCTGATAACAACAAGAATTTGTGACAAAACATAACCTGCCTCTCCTGTTTGTTCATTCAAAAGCTGAAATCTGGGAAAGCAGCAGAGGACAGTGCTATTCTCCAGCAGGCGCTGTGTGACAGAGATGAGGCCATAGAGAAGTGAGTACGCACACATCACGAACACAGTCACACTCTCCTCTAAATGACAAATAAAGATTTGAGGGGGAAAAAAGGAAGTTGAAAGATGTAGGATCTATTTTGAGGAGTGTGTCATTCTTTCTGTCACTGCTGTGCAGAAAGAAGGCGATGGAGGCCGAGCTGCTGCGGAGTAAAACAGAGATGATGTTGCTGAACAATCAGTTGCTGGAGGCCGTGCAGAAACGTCTGGAGCTCTCGCTGGAGCTTGAGGCCTGGAAGGTAAACCTGAGTCGAGTTTAATGTTTAACAGAGACAAAACAGAAGTGAATAAACTAGGAAAGGGAATGTAGAAAGGGAGGGTGTGACCATTTAACAATTAACAGCTAAAACATAAATGTAAATATCGTGCAAAAAAAGCCAGTAGGAAAATTGAAATATGTGTGACTTAGCCCAAGTAATCTAGAATAAGTAGGACACACAGTATACACACCCACACACAACACAACACACACATAATTAGTGTTTTGTACACACGTGTACTTTCAGAGCACAGAATGTGTTCAGCTGTGAAACACAATTAAAATTCACACACATTACATTCAGTATATGCAGTAAAGTACTGCCAGCTGGTATCCTGCCACAGTGTTTTGGCCACAGGCCAGTGTGTTCATCTGCTGAGCTCTTGGCTCCCTGCAGTGTCTAACCGAAACCGCACTGCACTTTGCAAGTGTTTTGTCAAGTTTACTGGTGGGAGCAGCAGCGTGTACTTCAGTTTAATACTCTAAACTCCAAACTGATTTTATCTAAACTACTGAAAATAGAGAAGTTTTTCATGTTTTAGTATCACAAGGATTTATTTTGTTATTGACAAAAAAATCATATCGCCACTGTTTTTTTCTGGCTTACTACTGGTGGGGAAAGCTGTATACTGGGGTCAGTGTGATCGGAAAATGTATCTAAAATCACAGAATCTAATGTTTCAGGAAGATATAAATAGATATAAAGCTAAAAACAAGGACAAGAAAAGCTGAACTAAGATAGGTAATAATAATATATAAATATAATATTAATATAGAAATTATAAAATGCAACACTGACCCAAAAAAACCCACACACTATACCTGTGATAGTGTGTATTGTGTACAAATCCAGTGTTTCTGTAAATTAAAAATCAAATATCACAAATTAAAAAATCATATATCATATTATAACTAACTAAAGGAGGCAAAGCATTAAGAATTTGAGATGGTGTAATCTAATATAAACCAAAATAGTCGCCAAAACACACACTAGAATTAGCAATTTCCAAATTTGTGGTAAACATATAATTATGAATATTCCAGCCACCTTCTATTTTAGGTAAACCTAAACTTGAATTATAATTCATATACATATATATGTAATATTGGTCCTATTAGCTAGCTGACTGTTACAGTGAAACAGTGACGTTGTTGTCTGCTGCGTTTGATAAGCCACCCTTTCCACTCCTTAGCACTCAGGTGTGCACTGGCTCTGAAAGCAGATCGACAACTCTCATTGATTTAAAACCCGGGGGCGATCACCACATTCCCACACACATTCTCTTTCAGACATTCCCTTATCATCATCAACTGGTTTGCAGATTTTTGAGGGTTGCAGATTCTTTTAAGTGAGTATTTCTTGTGCTCTGACAGCCTGTTTGTTTTCCTTGCTTCAGGAGGACGTTCAGCTGATCCTCCACCAGCAGTTGCAGAGTCAGCAGCAGGCAGAGCAGGCCCAGAAGAAGCCCTCCCGCCTGGGCATCCTGAGGAGAAACAACAAACCTCCCATCCAGCGGCCGGCCAGCATACCTACAGCTGCACCTCCCACAACCAACTCAAGCCAGATCTTTGTCTCCAGATCTGCAGTTTCTGCTGCTCCAACTCCAACCACGCCTCCTTCTACCCCTTTCCAACGCAACTGGAGGGACAAGCTGAAGAGGAACAAGACCAGTCGTCAAGGAGACCAGGATGCAGCGGGACAGGATTCAGAGTGGGGCAGGGGTCACAGTGGCTTCCAGGTTGTATCACTTGATTGAAACAGTGACAACTTTGCACTTTAAGTACATTCATTCTGAAGCACAACAATTTAAAGTCCCCCTTGAGTCAATAATGTGTTTCGCTTATTGTCACTTGGTAGTTTAAACTTCACTGTGCAGAATGAGGTTTGACACTAGAAGGCTGTTTTTACATCTTAAGTCTGAGTTTAAGACGTGTACATACGAGCTGATCACAACTAGTTTTGGAAGTCGATCGTTGTTCTACATGCAACTTACATCACGAACGAACTCTTCACTGAATTGGGAGACATCTGGTGTCCAGTAGTCACACACGAAGGAATAATATTTACATATTCATAGATTCCTTTTTATAAGTTGAAGTAATTTTAACAAGTTTTTTTTTTTATATTACACAATCATACCATACAGAGTATTTATTATGTCTTAAAAAAACATGTCTGGAAGGGCTCCTTAATGTATTCTTGTGAAATGTGCTCTGGATATTTGACTCATTCAGTGTATCTATGAAATATAGCTGTGATTATGAATGAGCCATGTCATTTCTTAATACTGTAATGCCTTACACTTAATTTCCTGACTGTTGTTATATTGTAAATAAATGAAACTTATACATTTCCTGCTGAGTCAGACTGCAGTTTATGATGAGTCACTACATCTCTTACAACCCATCATTAGCTGCACTTTTTTCAAGATTCAAAAGGAAAAAGAATACACACTGTTGCAGATGTTTTGCCATTTTATTGTATAATATTAGTTTGTACATTTTCAATAGTATATCATCAACTCTACCTATATGCATCTTGCACACATTTAAAATTTATATATGGCATTATCTATAATGAGTGCCAACATTGTGGCAACATGTTCAACAAATTGAGACGTATATAGCACAGCAAAGGTACATCTGATGACAAGAGAAAAGGCATGCTCATAGTGAAACAATATACAATCCTGAACAGATGATTACAATCTTCAAACAGCTTTTTCAATGTGATTCAATAAATTCACTTTTCTATATTGTTGACACAGAGTTCCCCTTACATATTCTTGTCCTACTGCAACACTCCAGAAGCTGAAGCAGGGCCTGCATTCAAATGTCAGCGATGCCCCCCAACAATCTATGCATATTGTGCAACAAGACAAGTCGGTCCTGTGGTTGAGGAGGACGACGGGGTCCTTCTCCACTAACTGCAGCTTTACAAAAAGAATAAAATAAAGGAGAGTTTCACTTAACTTAATTCTGGTCATTTAAAGCCTTCTAGACTTCTGTATTCACATCAAATGAACATAAAACACTGATTGTAGTAAACATCTAGCGCCATGAAGGGATATACCCTCATCTGTTAAGCTTCCTTTAAGAAAATTCACACATAACTGGCAACCCAGCTGCCAATCTAAAGTCTAGTTATTATTGTAGAATAAAAGTGTTTTTTTGTTTTTTTTCAAATCAAGTTTTACAGAAATGGAAAAGGAGCTCTTGACAAAAGAGGCACATACAAATTTACAACACCCTGCTTATTCATACAGATGGCAGTTTCACTACTGTGGACTGTACTATTCAAACTCATGGAAAACAGAAATGATATTAACACTATTACGATTAGATAACAACATACAATGTTGCAGCATATATCTGTGAGATACCCATATAGCTTTGCGCCTCAGTTGTAAAGATAAGTGAGATATAGATAATAAATCTCTAAAACATGTTTCATCAAAACACACTGATTGGACTGACCAAATACAAAGACACAACAACATTACCACGGCTTATTGCCAGACAGACACAAGAATAGTATAAGTGTATAATAATTAGCATATCCAGTTGTAACCTGAGACATTCAGGAAACAGATTGTGAATACTGCATTTGAGTGTTTCAGCTTGGTTTTCGTATAGGATTATGTTCACATAAAAATATAATCAGCTCTCGATGACCTCGGTCTATGACAAAGTAACTGACCTGTAAATCCCTTATCTCTGACAAACAGCAGAGACACAGAGGAGAGGACGTGAGAAATAAAGTAAATAATATTATCGACATTAAAATAAGTTTCTACAACTAACCATCTGCACACATAAAGTCTGTATTACAGCCTCTTTGCGGAGCTCCAACCTCCCCACACGTTCTCCCCCCGTGAATTTTTGCTTTGCTCATTCTTCACTTCTCTCCAAGAAGAGCTTCTCAGATATACAGTATTTGTTTCATTCCAGCGCTGTCAAAACTTTAATATCCAACTATGTTACGGCTGGTCCACTTCAGCAATCCCACATTGTACTTGGCCTAAAGCCACGTTTCTATTAGACTGGCATTAATGTTTCAACATAAAGAAAGCACTGTGCAAATGAGAGTTTCTTTGGATTAGTATATCACCTCCAAAACAGCCCTGTTATATGTTGCACTGGAGATATTTTCCACCTGCCGATCTAAAACTCAATGAAAACGCACCTATACAAGCTAGTACCACTACCTGTCTGGCAGAGAGACTAAACAAAAGAAAAAATCACTTAAACTACACTACACTACGTTTGTTTGAAGGTAAGAACTGACTGCTGTAAAAGGGTGAGTTTGGTCCAGTGTTGGCATTTAGTAGCATCATTAACGACTGCACTCACGCTTGCTGAAGCTGCTGAATTCTAACCTTCATTTTCAGAAATTGGACACTCAGAGGTGCAGAGCATAAAAAAAGTTCTGGGCCTAGGGCAGGAGGCAGCTAGGACTGGAGGAAGGAGCTGATGGAGCTGATGAAATCTAAGGGTTTATCTGCGTGGATCCAGTGGCTCGCGTCTGGGATGTACTGGATGTCAGCGCTAGGGAACAGCCTCTGGATTTCTGGGTAATCGTCGGAGCTGGATAAGAAGTGAAGACACAGAGAAGTAGGAATGAGAATATCAAGTAAAACAGGGTGCTGAAATGGCAAAAGGAAAAAGATGAACAGTGAGCTGGCATGTCATCAGTATTGGCCGATAAAGCCTTTAAAATTAAACATTAGCATCTGCAATTTCTTCCAATATGCAGATAAAACGACATCAGAATTATACAGTTAGTAACTAGGCTAGGGACGTCCTAATCCGAGCTCAATGATCGGTATCAGCACTGATCAAGGCATTTTTTAACCGATCGGTATCGGCTATGCTGAGCTTTATTGATTTGATCTGTTGTTTTACGTCAGCTGTCATATAGCTGTTTTCATCATCAACTCTGATTGTTTCCTCCACTCTGCTCTGTGTGAGTGCTCCTGCTCTCTCTCACACACACACACATGCTGCCTTCTGCTCGGAGGAGAGAGCAGTAGCGATCCGACATAAAACCACTCTCAAGCAAGTGCAACAAAAGTACAGGAAACAAAAAGCCAAAGAGTCATTAATGAATGTAATCGGTGCAAGAGATGTACAGGCGAACACAAAACCAAACAGTCCATTGATGCAATGCAGAGCTATTCAATTGTCAAGCAATGGATTGATTTTTAGTAACTTGAAGTGTGCAATGCGCACTGTATTATCAAACAGAAAATCGGATCGGGACTCTGTATCGGTAGATACTCAATATTTAATGACTCGGATCGGATCGGGGGATAAAAAAAACGTGATTGGGACATCCCTAAACTGCTGTGCCACCCAAAACGAGGGTGCATGAACCGAAGAGGTCGTCGAAGTATGTCTGCGGTGTGGACGTCTTATCAAGTTTCCGAAACAGTTGTATTTGCAGTGATTGCTTACCATCGGTCATTCCTTTAACACTACAAATTTAAGTTTGTGAAGAACAAAAAGAAACAACGCCAGCAGCCTTTTCCCTTCACAATAAGGCATAATAATATGTTAATTCCACCACAGGAGAGACTTGATGTTTTCTGCAATTAGGTTGAAAAGATATGCGTATATATCAGCATCTGCAATCGCCTAAAATTAACTGGAAAATATCAGATATTGGCATAAATCCAGTATCATGCATCCCTACAGTAAAGAGAAAACACGTTCATTATATGTGAAACACAGCTGGTGTTCACACATTCACACACAGAGCTGTTACTTTATGGTGTTGAGGTGGATTTTTTCTAGATAAATGGTACATTTATGGTAATTTCTCATTTCCATTTATTGCATATGTAATCAAAATTGTATTTCTAAAGCTCCAGAGAGTCCAGCTTGGGACTTTAGTTGGGGGACTTTTATTAAATGGTTTATATATTTAAATTAAAAAATGTTCTTATAGATATATATATATATATATATAATCCATTGTAATCTATTATGTTCTTTGCACATAAGCATTGCAAATAAGCTTAGACTATAAATGCTATAATATGTAGCATTTTCAGCAAGTATTCTACATGTATCAGTCCCTATATAAATAAACAGTCTGTGTATGTGGTATTTTATACCTGATATAAGCAGAACTGGCTCCACCCAAAAACAGTGTAGGTCCCTCATAGATGGTTTCAAAGCTGGGGAAGCTCATAATATCATCAAGGTGTGCCGAGATGGCCTCCAGGTTGACCCTCCAGGCATAGTGGCCATTGTGCTCCACCAGGTTGGTCAGCAGGAACTGACGCACCGAGCGCTCCTGAGGGAGGGAAGGACAGTTTATGACTAGACTGATTTAAAAAAAAAATATATATTGACTTGAAAGAAACAAAAATAAATATTTTTATATTAACAATGGACCACGTGACTGAACAATGCCTACTCAGCATTAACAGTAGACAGACACATTTAGTGACTAGCTTGTGAACACAATTTAGCATTTAGCAGCTAGAGAGTTGGTAGAGACCAAAAACAGAGCAAAAACAGAGTGAATATTGGTCTTTCATACATCAGGTGGTCAGAAACACAACTCTAAATAAATGACATTAATATTCCTGGATGTGTAAATAGGCAACTGGTTGCTGACAAGCTTGTCATATGAACTTTATTACGTGATAACATGTCAGTCAAGTTTGTGGTGCTACCAAGTGGCCAAAATCAGTTATTGCATGTTTAAATATCAGATACAGTAAACTACTACTTGACAAAATAAAATACACTCCTGACAAACTAACATCCCAGGTTTAATTAACTGAAGAACAGCGGACATTATTTTAAACAATCAAATCAAAAAAGGAGTCCTGACCTTGACCAAACTGCGTAGCTGATCCTCAGCCATCCGCCTGGCGGTGGAACGTGGGATGTCACTGGAGATCTTCACCTCCTGCATGGCCTGGATGTAATAGCGGAAGTTGGTGCGCGTGGATGTCTGGGCTGGACTGATGTCCACTACCACCAACCTCTCCACTAGACTGGACTACAAACAGAGAAAAGAAAGAGTGGATGAACAGGCCGGGAAAGAGATTGGGGGAAAACCTAAACTGGAAACAGGACAGCTAGGTAGGTAGCATGAAGACCAGAGGATTAAGTTCAGAGAGACATGAATGTACAGTGAGAAAGGTCAGGTGACATCCAGCAGTGGCACTGTAGCATCACGATAAACTCGTGGTGACATTTTCACTGCTAACCTGCGTCAGGGCAGTCGTCATGGCCGTTTTCCCTCCCATGCTGTGGCCGATGAGGACGCACTTCTCGATGCGCAGCTGGGCGAGGAGGTGTTTCAAATCGTTGGTCATCGCTTCATAGGTCAGCACCGGACTGTGAGGGCTGGTGCCGTGGTTACGGGCATCTACAGTCAGCACCTAACTAGACAAAGGACAGTTAGGACACTTGGAATGGGGGGAAAGAAGCAACAGAGCAGAAACAGAAAAAACATTTACGTCAGCCGTGCACTTTGTTTGTTGTTCTTTTGGCCCCAGCTCAGGCGAAGAGACAGCACAAACAAAGGCTGCACTGTGCACATGAGGTGATGAGTTTCTTTATCTATCAGTATTTATTACAAAACAACAGACTGCTGAGGAGTTGTATCAAATGGCTGACAGCACACTGGTTGATTGTATGTTCCCATGCATGCTTTTGTATGAGGTGGAGTGTCGGGCTACTGAGAACAAACTCAGACACATAAAAGGTGAATTGTTTTTGATGTAACAACAGACAGGTGAGATGTCTTCATCGCTGCATTACCTTTCGGCCTGTGCGCTGCACCAAGGACTTCGCTATTGAGTGGAAGTTAGATTTGCTGCCAAAAAGGCCATGGAGAAACACCAGGGGAGTGCTCTCTCCCTTCCCGTCGAAGACATCATAGGTCAAGTTGACTGGACTGGGGGGAGAAAAAAGTAATTGATTGTTTAAAATCTCCCCAGTTACGTCTGTGGTGAGGAAAATTTGCAACACTACTTAAACAGGAACAGTGATTAATGTAAGTAATAAAACTCTGCAAACTGCTGAAACTTCAGTCTTTTGCTTTCCTAATTATGTCCCATTCAAACAGGATATCAGGAGAGATTATTCAAGCAGTAACTATACATTTATACACATATATGTCGTTGTTTTTTTAAAGTTGTCTTTATATTATATATTAAACTTATTAAAAAATATATTTGAGTGTGTGAACTGGAAAAGTAATTATTCTTTCTTTGTGATTTTAAATATTTCCCTCTGCAGATGTTAATGTAACAGTATAGAGGGCACAGTCACATGACCACCTATACAATGCAATACAATAGGCATGATTAAAATGGTCTCTGTGAAGCTTTAATATTTAGTCAACTCTATTACTTATTAATCTGTTAGTTACTTTTGATAAATGTAAAATTTACAGCATCATAATGAAGTGCTTTAGTCCTGAAGAAACTAAAAATCTGACTCTCCACATTTGTTCTTTTGGTACAGGACCCCCCCAAAAAAAGTCACATCATCACGATTTTAATAGGTTCTTCAGTAAAAATTCAATTTGGGATGTAAAAATTATCATTCCCACAGTAATCGTGCAATTGTAATGTCACAATATGATGTTTTTATCATACTGTGCAGCCCAGAGATAATACATGTACAATGATATAAAACAGAGAAATTAGTTATCCGAAGTATCCTAGTTAATAGTTATCTTATGAGTGAGTCAATTAACTGATTAATCAACTAATCACTTCAGCTCTAGGGTTTGCAATGTTACACTGGATTGCATTAACTTGGGCACACATCTAATGTCTTTAAATTATATACACTCAGTTGCCTGTTTATTAGGTACACCTAGCTAAATCTAATGCAGTCCAGCAACAAATCTTACCTTCTGAGAGGTGTTTCATAGGGCTGCACAATTATTATCACTGAAATATGACAAAGTGCAATATCCAAATCGCATAAGCTGCAGTTTTTTTGATTAAAAAAAAAGGTAAAATGTGCATCAAACAGCATTATAGTGAAGCACTGTAGTGCTGCAGAGATGAACCTGGCCTACAAATCTTATTCTCCACATTTAAGAAACCATGTTTGTTTGGTACAGACACAAACAAATGTCACACAATCATGATTTTACTATGATCACTACCACTAATCCTGAATCATATCGCAATTGGTCAAAAATAATCGCAATATGGTGTTTTTTTTTTTTTTTTACCATATCATGCAGCCCTATTTCTAATATTGTGTCAATGGGTGGACAAAATATACACACCATGTTACATTAGGATGAAACAAACCCCTCTCTACAAGCAGTTTGTGTAACATTAACGGAGGTAGCATTCATAAATGGGTGTTGTATTAAGACAGCATTCATTTTAGCTTGGCTTATCTAACAAACTGGTAACGGGGCGTACATGTAGTATAGAATAACATATAGCACATGACAGCAAATGGTCGTTTTATTTACACAGCCGAATAATAAGATAAAGCCGGACCGAGAGTCCATATCTAAAATCCTCTTTGTAAGTGTGATGGACTGATAGCTCGACTGCAGGTTAACCCTCTGGCTAACCAGACGTCTGAATGTCATGTTTTCATGTCAACTGTGTCAAATTAAAGCTCGATAAAAACCATGGCAAATGCACAACACGGTGACATATATTAGCCTATAATATATCAGTAATGTTCAGGGGTGTCACGTCCACCCTCTGTCCACGCTAACAGCGGCGGACAGAGGGCATCAGATAGCCGGGGAGCTAGCGGGGATACCTGGACGAGCTCGCCGCCCGGACCGGTGCAGCCGCCCCGCACACATCCTGCTGGCCGGGAAACAGGCGACACGACGGCCGACCGCTCAGCAGTCCCCGCTGGATCAGGCGACACAAAGCACTCATGGCAGCATAGGCTCCGTTACCGGGCGGTCGACAAACAGCATGTGCGTTTAAAAAGCGGCCACAGCGACAGCAGAGACTCGGTGAGCACCGGAGGTCGAGATTGAACGGAGCTTCGGTCTGTCAACAGCTGATGGTGCGTGATGACGTAGGACGCACAGATGAGGGCGGGGTGTGTTGACCCTGAGTTTGGTCTCTCAGGCTAAAAAAAAACAAAAAAACAGCACACACAGTATATTTATTTTACTTTACCGAGCTGACTTCAATCTAAGGGCATATATTTGAAGTCACTTAATGGTAATCAGAATCAGAATCACACATACAAGGATTTTGACTCAGGTTTTATGTTTTGATTTATTGTGTTGATTTTATTTTACTTGAATTTTATTTTACTTTTATTCTTATCTCTACTCTCTGCTCTACTTTCTATATTTAGCTAAGAGTTTTTTGTTTACTGTTTATTTAAGAGTTTATTGTTTATCTTATATTGTATCTTTCAATACCTCTTCTATTTTTTTATACAAGTGTTTTGTAAGCTGCTGGAAATTAAATTTCCTTGAGGGAGTCATCCCAAAGGGAAAGTGAAGTCTAAGTCTCTAAGTCTGTTGCTCTCAATGTACAAACACAGACTAAGCATAAATAAACAGGACAACAAGCTCAACAAAATATAAACTACTATGCACAGTTATACATATATAAAAAACAAATAACATTTGTAGACAGAAGACATAAGTGCAAAATTAGTGAAATAAAACGTGCAGGTTTCTTTATGTACATGAGGTAGGTGGATATGACAGTATATATAGTATCTGCAGTATGCACAGCGCAGGTAGATGTATTATAATGATTGTATTTCTGTATTTAAAAAAGAATTCCAACAATGGAAAAATAAATAATAAATAGTTTACTGGTGCAGTAGATGTTAGAGTCCCAGGGTTTTTGTACAGGGATAAATATGCTAATAGAGATTGTTTGGTGTGTATATTAAGATTCAGCCCCCATTTAGGAGGAACTGTGTTTTAATGTGTGAAATGTTAAATGTTAAAAATCCCAGATTCTTTGCT